CAATAGACTGAGATATTTTTACGCGATTTTCTAGCCTGTATAGATCCGAGTTGGATGGAGTTTGTTGGCTCTAAGGGACTAAGATTTCAGTCCTTTCTAGCGGTAATAAGAGTGTGAAAAGGGAAAGCAGCATCTGGGTCTTGTTGCGGGGTCTTGAAGATTTCCAATTCTGGTATAATATGACGCAACACTGGCACTTGAACTTTAATAAAATACATTTTATAAAATTACTTTAAGTTTAATTTGTTGCTCCTTTGTACACATTTCAAGTATAAAATTGTGTACGATAAAACGCATTAAAATCCACTCGTAACTAGAACGAAGGATCTAGCCCTGAAACACACGCACACACACACACACACACACACACACACACACACAAGTGGTAACTCAATGACAACAAAGACTAAACTAAATTATGTGTTTGGTTGAGTGAAGAGGAAGAGCAGGATGGCAACAAATTGTGAGCCTTAAATTTTATATTTCACATGATTTAAACAACAGCAGCGACAACAACAACAGCAACATTGATGCAACTCTATGAGTTGGTGTGTGTGTGCGTGTGTGTGCGTGTGTGATAGAGTATGCTGGTGTTGTGCGACCAACTTGAAATGAGTGTCTCGCAACAACAACAACGAACAACAACAACAACAATGGGTTGTGTCGTGCGGAAGCGGAAACTTCAAAGCGCGCACACTTTGGCCTTGTGAGGAGGCTGCCCAACTTGTGGGCGTATGCCGAGGGCATGGCTGGTTGATATGGTGATGTCAGGTCTGCTGGGCATGCATATCATACATATTTTGAGCGCACCTGAGCGCGTTTGTGTCTCGGAATTAATTCGCTTGCGAGTCTTCGCTCGAGGAGCTTCTCGGTGACAACGGGCCACGGATAACTTTGTTGTCAATTTGGCTTATTTGATTTGAGCCTGGTCATGTTGTTGTTTTTGTCATTTATCTGAAGCACAATGATGTAACACACCCAGATGACAATAACTTTTTTTTAGTTTTTAATTTTTTGTCTTGGGAAATGTCCTGACGTCCTTAAAGTCTTTGCTTTATTTGGGTTTGCAAGTCGCTTTTGCCCTTTTCGCTCTTTACACTTCAAGCTTGAAACATTTCAACTCAGAAAAATATTTGGTAAATTGAAGGAACGAGCTGTTACTGAATTGACAATAAAGAAATTTGTTAAACCTGAAAACAAATTATTAACTATTTTTAATAGTTAGAAGTTATAGTCGACAATAAATTATTATTTAAAGAACATACTGATTATACCCTTGAGAAAGTTACTAGTGCCTTGATTGGGACAAGTGAAAATACATTTACATTTTCCAATCACGCACGTTTCCTAAAATACACTAAATAGCGAACAGACTGGTTGTACTCTAGGAAATTGTTTTGCTAAAAGCAATAACTCCCAGATAAATAATTATCATATGTATTTTCATTTTTTGATGTGATATTATCTTTTTTTGAAAGATCCACGCAAGCTGAACTGTTGAATGAAAAGTTAAATATCGTTAACTAAAAAACAATCATAAAATTTGAGTTTTAATAATATTAAAATTTTGAACATAATATTTTATTTAGCTAATTTTTTTTAATAATAGTTCATGTAAATTTAACACAATGCATTTAAGAACATTTTTAATATAAATTATTATATATATAATAAAAATTTAATTTTGGTTCCTCAATTTCTGAAATTTTTATTTTAATAGCTGTCTTAAATGCTTGTTAAAAAATGTTGTTCCTAGTGTATTCTAGACAATTTTTAAACATTTTATTTTGGGTTTTAGATAATTTTATAATAGTAAATAATAATTTTGTAGTAGTAAAAGGTTTACTATAAGTTTTTCTCTTATGGCCCATCGCCCTCTCCCTCTCCCTCTCTCTCTCTCTTTTTAGCTGAAGATATTTCATGCTTTACTTTTTTTCCAACAAAGTGACAAAAAGCAGACAACTGTGAGAGCAACAAGAATTCGTTTTGCTTCGCACAAATGTATCTTAGCATGTGTCAAAAGGGGTTCATTTTAAAGCCAGTTCCTCAGTTCCTGTTGCTCTTTTTGCATTTCTTTTGGTATGCTTTGCATTTTTTATATGCTTGTGCTGTTTGTTAGAATGTTTCATCAGGTTCTGCTTGACATTGTGCATAAATATTTGATTTCTAAATTTTGCGCGCACTTCACGTTTTACTCGGCCAAATTGTTGTAGTTCCGTGTGTGTGTGTGTGTGTGTGTGTGTGTGTGTGTGTGTGTGTGTGTGTGTGAGTGCGAAGATCTCACTAAATTCACTAAAATGCGTGAGTTTTTTCCTCTTGCTGCTGCCCTTTTCATGTTTTCACTGGGCAAACAATTCGCTTTGAGAAGTCCTTGGCCAAAGGATGCACGCTGTAATTTCATTTCTAACAACTGCTCCTAAAAGTCATGTGAATGTGTGTGTGTGTTGTGTGTGCGTATGAGTTTTAGGGGGGGGGGGCGTGTTTGATTCGCAGGATAAAGTTTGTTTGGATTTCTTAGCTCGCACTTGAGATTGTTGTTTGTTATTCCTGCTGGTACCGTGTTGCAGCAACAACATAAAGGAAAAGAGATTTTCAAAAAAAAATGTGTGTCCTTGTCATATCTGTTATTGCATTTGTTTCTATACCCTTTTCGAAAGAAAGTATTACAATCCTGTCACGACACGTGGGACTATATGTCAAGCTTATAAATTCTATCAAGATGATAAGATTAACCGATTCATATTCTGAAAAATTGCCCTTAAATTGATTGACAAACAAGAAACTAATTTTTTTAATGATCTATATCTTTAAATGTGTCAGTTACATCTTACATATATAAGAAAAACATATATAAAAAATTGCATCAAAAAATTGAATATGCAATTTGTTTTTATCGTGTGCATCACATATTCTTAGTATTGGCAAGCTAAGGCTTTTAAAGCTTTTAGTTATTTTCGAAATAAGCAAAGCATTTTTTTAGAGTTCAGCAAAGACAAAAAATGGTGTGACATATTTATATACATTTAAATAAATGACGTTCCGAAAACTTCTGGAATAAATTGAAATTATAAAGTCTGAGGAATACTCTTTAGATTTCCAAGCCAATTTCAAAAGCTATGAGTCTTCATTTATTTGCAAGAACATAATAAATTTTCACGAACTCATTACATTTAGATCGCGTTAGTTAAGGCTTTTCTTTTATAATTGGGTCAAAAATTGTATTTTTTTTAATTTAAGTACTCAAACTCTTCACCTTGTGCGTAATGCGGACGCATATTTCTGCAAAATGTAAGTCAACCAATATATTTTATACAGTTAACAGATTAGTTTCACAATTTAGTGCTCTGCAAGGGTATTTTATGATCGATGTGCTGCACGTTCTCGTTTTGCGTGTCCCTGTTCGAAAGGAGTCAAGTGATGCTCTAAATGAAATTTCTCAAATATATTCTTCTCAGCATTACAGTTATATTTTGTTGTTGATTGTTTGTTTTGCTTTTTACCTCCTCAGCAGCTACTTCTGGCATTCGGCTTTTGCCAAAAGCTAAAACAAATTGAACTTTTCACTTTGTAAATGACTTGGAGCAGCTGCCGTTGCAAAGCTTTAAATTGAGCACAGAAATGATTTAATTCAAAATAAACAAAACTTATTTTTAAAACCAATTTGCATGAACAAAAGATTTTAAAATTGCTAACAATATTGGCTTAAAAAGTTCTTTTTATTTATTTAAAATTTTGGGCCATTTTCCGTTAAAGACATTTGTAATTTAATTTTTTTTGTAAGTGATTTTTCCTTTTATTCGTCATCATTTATTTTCAGTCTATATATGCACTAGCTTGTATTTCCCGGTGCACGTTTCTTGCTTCAAATTTTACATTACATTACGTTAATTTTCTACCTCGAACTCCCACGTCTTAAGTTATGTTTTAGATAGATACTTAAAAATGATTTTGATGTCCTTTGAAAAAGAACGCACATTTTCTCGAGGGGTAAAGCTTGAAAAATGAAATTTCGTTCATACAAGATTTGGCCTGTATTTCCCATCCATGGAGGGATACATACATACACCGAACTTTCCCTCCATCAGATAAGTTAACAATAGTAAAAATGTCAGCTTTCTAGATCTTACGATTTGGGTTGCACTTTGAACATCAATCAATCAGTCGGTTAGTCAGTTAAGGCCAAACAGTTTTATGAATGTAAGTTTCATCGAATTCAATCCTTTATCAAAAACTCCGACTTAAATTTAAAAGGTTTAAGAGGTTCAAATTAAGGAAAAATTCAGGGAAAATAAATTTCGAAAGGTCTGTGAAATTCATATGAGAACAAAAAATAAACTAAGCAAGAAGAATTACAGCATTTATTATATAATAATTGCATTTATTTGAGTTTAGTTTAACTTCCAATTCGAGTTTTAGTTAATTTGCATTTAAAACACATAAGTCTCCATTGAAACACAGCCCACTTTAAATTTGATACCCTTTTTTTGTCAGATATGTACTTTGTATCGAATGTACCCATATCAAAAACTGCTCAGCCTGGCTGTCAACTTTTAAAGGGTGAACTTTTCGAACTGAAACTTGGCCAAGTAATCAATTCAATTTACGCCCAAATTGCCACGCCCAATTTTGCCCATTAATAAGCAAAGCGATAAAGTCAAAACGATCAAATTGTTGAAGCAAATTTTGGTCAATTTCTTAAATTTGAGTATTTCTTGAACGTTTTCTTGTCGCATAGATGAAGGTTTTTGTTGTTGTGTACTTGCGGCTGCCAACTTCGGATATCTTTTGGCGATAAAAACAAAAATGTCACATTTAACTTTTCTGACAATGTTGACAACCGCAACAGCAGCAACAACAACAACAACAACCACAGTTAAGAAGAAGCAGCAACCGCAAATCTGCCACCGAAAGTTGGTGGGAAATCAGTTAACGCATTTGAATTTGTTTGACTTGGCCTATTTTCGTTGCATTTGATTTGAATTTGTGCTGTTTGTACGTACCAAATCGGTTTAGGTCATTATCCTTGTGTTATCCTTGCGTTACTGGGCGTATGTGTGTGTGTCCTTTTTTCGGCACCTCATCGATTAGCCAAGTGTTGCCATGCAACAAAGGCGGCCGCTTTCGAGCAGCAGCGGCACACACAAAAAACTCAGGGCAGGCGGAGGGAAAACCGCATTAACTACACACCGAACCGGACAGGGGCGCGGAGTCCGCGGGGTCAGGATATGCTTGCCAGGATTGTCGTAGAAACCGCAACGTGGTGACACAGACACAAACAAAATGTTGCACGTAACTTGGTGACGAGTGTACTGCAAGAGGCTTTTGTTTATGTTTTTGTTCTGGCAGGATAATGCCGCATATCCTAAAAGCTTGTCCAACCAATTATCGTACAATTTTGCTGTTGAAATAGTCAGAGCAATCGAATCCTTTTCGCGCTGACCGCTTGTTCGAACACACGCGAGCACTCAAAACAAGTCAAGACTATTGCAATTTGAATAATAACAATTAGGTTTGTTTATTATAATGATGATGATTATGTTGCTGATAACAATAAGATTTCACTAGTCGTATAAACGGAGTTCAGCTGTCACCTGCGACAACAACACGACCGACTGCTTACACGGCTCGCCGTCAACTGGTCCCGCCTCGAGGTTCGGGCTAACGCGTTGCGTGAGACCCGCAGCTACAATGTCTGGGATATTTGTCGCTAGCTGCATGTTATTCACCACACCAAACGAAATGCAACTTAGGGCTGTTCTCTCTCAAGCTCTAGTTTGCGCGCTCACTGCCTCTCTCGCCTTCTGGTTGCTGTTGTTTCCGTAGTGGTGAGTTTGCGCCAGGAATAAATTTATAATTCGTTTTGAGGTTTGTTTTCATTTTGCCGGTTTGTTTACGTTTTTGCCTTTTCACCTTAGCCGGCTTTTCAATCTTTTGGCATGTGACAAAGCACATGACATATTTGCTGAAGATCCACAAAATAATATCACTTATTGGAAAATAGCTGGTTGGTCACACGAATTTGGTCGTATTTCGGCTGGATCGGCTTATTTACAAGAAATGCTTGTTTCATTGCAGGACTCCGTAACCAAAAGAGCCAACGACACATCGCATCAATAAGAGGAGCAGAGGAACAGTTGCAACTACTACAACAACGTTTGGTATAGACAAAGGGTATCAATTAAAATACGGGTGCAAGCTGAACAACCTAAGGAACGCCCAACTTTCCCAGGAGGCAGTCATGCTGGCGACAACAACTACAACAACAACACCAAGCAGAGCAACTAAAGCCACAATTACCTCAGATCCGGGCATTCTGTGTTTTCATCACTGCAACGTGAAAGTTTTCTGCTTCGTCCTGCCCCACACCTGTCCCCATTGCAATGAACAGCTCAATGCGGATGCCAATACCGTTCCAGACACATCGGGAGCTGGAAGCAGCAGCTCCATGACTTCGACGTGGCTGCTGCCCTTTCGGCTGCCCTATCCATTTGTGCGGGCCACGCAGCATCCGTGTGCGATTGTCCTGCGACCCTCCTCAGGCGACTTCCTCAAGTGAGTACCTTACCAGCATACGATATACAGTCAGATATCGCTTCCCCAAGGGTTCAGATGGAACTAGCTGACGTTGCCCGGACAAGTACTTTTCGTTAAATTTTAGCTAAATATACCTTTATCTATAAAAAAAAAGTTTGAAGCTGATCTGATGAAAAGTGAAAAAAATTGCAATCAACAGTTTCGACCTTTTTGTCAGATATGAAATGGTCCCTTCGAAATTGCCGATGAAGTGGAAGATTGAATTAACTTTGTTTAGTGTCCAACCATCTGGTCATCTTGTTCGTTCCTGTGAACGCGAAAACTAGGGGCTCTAAAAAAGGAAAACATATTTAAGTATATATCCGCGTAAGACAAGTTCCTCTTCCCTTAAGTGGCTGGAAAATCGCAAAAGTTTTCGAGTTAATCTCTTCAAATTTGTCAAGTACTCCACAGGCTAAGATTCAACGACACAATTCGCACATTAATAAAATAATAATAACAGATCTCAAAAATTCGAACCGAAATCTGCAACTGACATCCAGCGTGTACTGTTATATAAAGTCCTCTGTTATCGAAAATAATGTTGTCTTATGTTATATGTAGCATACTTTTGGTAGTTGATAAAAAAAACTTGTGTTTCGCTGGATAAAAACTTACTTGCAAGTAGCATATATTTTTGAATAGGGAAAATAACTCGTATTAGATAGAGTTACAGCTTTTAGATAAATCCCTTTTTATGTTGTTTTGACAAGCGCGACAGCAAACAAATTTGTTGGTCGGCATTTTAGAAAGGCTTAGCATGGAGCATGGCGCTTCTGTGTAAGCCCAGATCCCAGAAATTGCCAACAATTTTTGGTGGCGAATTTTTCGTTTTTGCATCTGTAATATGCAAAATGTGTCTGATGCGTTTTTTGGTGTGCTTCCGCAGCGATTACAGCAACGCCACAGATTTGCATATCGCGGTGACCACATCCGCCGGCGACATTGTCGAATTCGATAGGGACGGACTGCAGCGGCATCGGCGCGACGATAATCCCCGCGACTGGTGGCAATCGCTGCTAGTGGGCGATGTGCCCGAGTCCTGGCACTACTACTGGGATGAGGTGCTTGAACAGGTGAGTGCTGCTGCTGTACCCAGCTCTGCTCCTCCGATACATGTGAATTGCATGCAAATCTCTAAGCTGCTTCATCCCCGATAGATTTGCGCGCAGTCAGCGCGTTGGTCCATTGAACGCTACGAGGAGAGCAGCCACAACTGCTACACCTTTGTGCTGGCCTTCCTGCAGTCCCTCAACTATGCCCAGCTCAGCGACGCGGCCCGCACCAAGACCAGTTTCTGTGAGAAGTTCATTGTGCCCAGAACGACCACGGCTGGCAAATACATCTCGCTCTATCGCAGGCTCCGCCTGGCCGGGGTTCATGTGCATCGCCAGCAGCCCAAGCAACGGCCCTCCAAAACGGATATCTCTGATGGCAAAGATCTCAAATTGGCCAACACAAAAGCCAACACCAATGGCCAAGTGTGCGGAAATTTAGGAGCACGTTCTCATCTACGACAAACACTCTGCACCATCGAAGAGTAATCGAAACTTTACATGGAATTGAGAAAAGCTAAAACCTTATGCTATATAAGCCTTCGATGAAAATATTTGCACTGCTGCAGAAAATCATGGCACTATCGGTGGGATCGATAGGAAAATTTATCGATGATAAAATGGGTAAAAAATGTACAGAGGTTTTGTGCAAATTTATCAGGAGCCGAGTCAATTTAGCCACGTTTTTATCCGTCCGTCTGTCCGTATGCGTGAACACGACGATCTCGACGTAGGTTCTCCTAGTGCACGTGCACGAGTTTGTTTCCGATAGTCGATAACTTTCCCCGTTTAAAAACAATCGATAACAAGCGATATCAAAATCATTGCTTTTAAGCAATTCCTTTAGTTTTTTAAGCTAGAGTCACCATTTGCCGCATCATTTGCCACGTAGCTGCTATAATATTATATAAGGATCAAGAATCTTTCAGTTTATAGCTACTGTCACCCCGTCTCCGCAACAGCAGATCAACCCTCTAAGTCTTTTTGCTTGTGTAACAATATACAAAATTGCAGAATTCTCTGCAAAGCATTTTTAAAATTTTATTTATTATGTCCTTTCCTCAAATTCTTGGACTTAACAAAAATGCTTAACCATGCCATGACATTTTATTTTGGATTTTCATCGCTGAGCTGAGTTATCGACAACCTCTTCAAAATATAACAGGAAACAGTCAATTAATAAAGTTACAACACTTTCAACAGACTATCGAAAATCTATACAATTGATGGTGGCCGCTTAAGCCATTGAAGACAATCGATAATGTCACTATCGATACTTTTGCAGCACAAGTTAAATAATTACGAGATGAAATTTAAAAGGCTGTCAATTCTTTTATAACATACATTTCAATTATACTTTATACAATTAAAGCAGCAAACTATATTAACAAACATAATTGCTGCTGACTTCTCGATAGCACAGATAGACACATCAAGTTTGCCGATTGTTTAGATATCGATATCGATACCGTTAATCCTAATCATTGTATTTGCAGCACTATTAAATATGCTTCATTCATATTTCAATTTAGTTACTTTGTTCCTACAGTATAGATAACTTTGTATTATTCTCAATGCCAGATACTTTGACACAGAAATTTCAATATTTTTCTTTGATTTATATGTAAATGATATTTATTTATAAGTAAATTTTCTTTTACGAACTATCACCTTTACTTTCTTTTTGTTTTACTGGTAGTTTATTAAGAATGAGCGAAATGAAAAAATTGTATTTAATGTGATTTTAAATAGTGATTTCAAAATAAATTATGTACTATATTTTATTTACATTTAAATTTTTTTAATCAATATGAATTTCTCCCTTTTTGTGAACATTAAAAGTAATGTGAAATAACACCAGTGTAAAGAAATCGTGAAAATGATTCCAAAATTGTACCCCGATTTCCACGATAAAACCCAACCAGACTTGGCAAAACATCATCTAAGCTCACCGTGTCTGCGTAAAGATATTTATTATTTTTATTTATTTATTATTATTATTATTATTAATTATTTATGTTAGATAATTAATAATGCATTTATTAGACTATCATAAATGTAGCTAACGCCATCTATGGGTCACGATCGGCGGTGCACGAGCGTAAACATTTTTATTCCTATCAAAGTCCTGGAAAAATTTCCCTGTGTAATTATACGACTGGCACTTAGTAGCAGACTTTAATTGTAGCAGTTAGAACTAGCTGATTAAGTGGCATACAGGTTTCGAGCGAAAACTACGTTCAGCTTGATTTGCAAAGCCCATTAATTTAAGCCTATTTTTCAATTCGCCCAATGTGCTATCAAATATAAATCAGCTGTCTATGCATATGTGAGGTAATTAAATTGCGGAGAGCGGAGAGACTAGCCTCGCTGCAGTTTCGCCGAATTATTTCGCTTCAAGCGTCGGCGGTGAAGCTGCACACTCCACCCGAAAGTTTTTTGTTGTTCATTTAATCTCTGCGATAAAAATAGGTATATTGCGCGAAAAGGTGTAGACATTAAAGAAAATAATATATATCATAATAGAAAACAGCTGCGTCATTATTGCAAATTGCACAAGGGAAGTCGTTAAGGCGCATAATTCTTGTAAATTTAAATGTGTCTCAGTTTCTTATTCTTTTTTTTTTGTCAGCTTAAGAAAAGCGCAAGTAAGTTTTCAATACGTCATTTCTTTTGCAATTTTGTTATGTTGTTTTTTTCTTTTATTAATCCATTGCAGCGATCGCCATATTGGTTATGAGAGCCAATTTTAAGTGTTTGTAAGGAAAAGTACTAAAAATTAAGAGAATAATTAGATTGAAAAGAAGATAGCAAGATAAGCAAAGATGCCAATTGTGTTCTTTTTTTCTCCCTGTGTCTTTTTCTCCTTTGTTATTCTAATACCCAAGATGGATGTTATGTAGGTAAGTAACATAATTACTTTGTTTGCCTATGTATAAAATCTCTTTAATTAAGAGGCAGCTACAACAAATGTTCCCAAAAACATAGAAAATATGCACTTTGATAGAAAATAAATAACATAAATTAAGAACGATTCCAAAATGAAAGAAATTGAAAAAGGATCGCATCTATAGCATCCGTGCTTTCGAGCTTTAAATTTATATTTTTACTTGGAATTATTTAATTTTCGATAGGAAGCCATAATTATTATTTTTAATGCTATCCTATATTTTAATGTGTTACGTGGCATGCATTTAAAAACATACTTATATTAAGATTTAAGTTTGAATCTACATCATATCCGTCTGGCCTTAGTCTCTTTGGGTTATTTTAGCTTTTGTTAGGAACAATGAAATTTTTTCTTATAACAGTAAAACATATATATAACATAAGTTTGAACTGTATATTTATTTGTGATAATGCACCGTCGCAATAAGAAAGTAGGGTAGACTTTCGGTTGTTTCAGGGATCACCGACCAACAATTTGTTCACTCTGCCCAGGGAATAAATAGAGGTTAGGCAAACAGCTTCTGTTTAGATACCAATTTAGTGAAATATCAAGAAATGGCTGGAAGATTTATGTCTACAATTTTAAGCAAAAAACTTGGACAGGGTGGGGCTGGAAAATACGAGATAGTTTCTACACATGTTACGTATTTTTTTTGTTTGTTTCAGTTAGCTAGGTTTATTATAATAAGTACAAGCTTATGTTGAGCAATCGTATTTAAAAAGGTTTATAAAATAATTGGTTTGAAGAGCTTCGATATGAGTCATCAATTTGATGGGGGGCTGACGTTCTCACGGTACATATTATTATAGTTGCCTGGTGGATCATAGTTGCACACAACGTAAATGGTGTTGCCACTGCAAGATGAAGTAAGGAGTGGAAGTTGGTTAACTTAGAATAACAGAAGATCTTATTTGAGGTTCTAGTTATTATGCTCACCGTCGAGCAAATCCTACGCCTAGCCGTTTGGACGATTTCCAAACCACCTGAGTAAAGTGGCCTGTGTTCATTTGGAACGAAGGGGAACGCCAATTGTAGTCATTGATCTCATTATACCAGGAGTCAACTGCATCTGCGCCTCCCAAATTACCACCCGAAGCCATGTAGATGTTCTCTCCATATCCGCTGTTTTGGCGATGTTCCATGCGATTGTTGGCTAGCAGATGCTGCATTGGTTACCAGAAATGATTAGATATATCGAGACTCTAGTGGATAATAACGATAGTTGCCCGTGTACCTGAGCCCAGTTGGTGGCCAATTTGTTAAGACTGCCGTCTAGCTCTAATGGAGGCGCATTGTGCTGAGCTCTGTGGGCATTGTGGGCCTTAAGCACCTCTTGTTCGAACTGTAATGGATCGGTTTTCAATTTTTATATTTATATTATATTATATTCAGCTATATTTTAAAATACACCACAAAGCTTGGGAAATGCGTGGATAAGTATGGGATGAAGCACTTTGGTTTTTTATTGGATCATATGAAAACTGCAATACAATTTATTAGGGCTTTTAGGAAAACGTAATTCCTTTTAGTTGAAGATGGGTTCAAAATTAAAATTTGGTTCAATCGATAAACTTGTTTTCGAAATTATGGAAGATTTATTTTTCATCCGATTGCTTCAACTGTTGCAGTTTTTCTTTTTATCCGATTGACTTGCTTTTAAAGATATATGTTAAGGTATTTCAAGCAGAAGAACCGCGGGTACATTTTAATTTTCACAGAGGCGGTGTTCGGAGGGTGTGGAAAAGAGGAAAGAAAGCTTATTCCGGACAGAGAGAAGTGATACACAATGGTATATATATATATTTATGTATATTCATATGTACAAGCACAGGTAAACACAGCCTTCCGGAAGTAATTCGATTTAGGAAGCGAATATCAATATACACATAGCCTCAATACGACATCCTTACACTCTCCTGGGAATCATACCCGTATCCTTGTTGGGCATTTGCTTGAATGACTGGGCCACTCAGACAGCTGATTATTATTATTAGTATGCTTACAGCCTGAACACTCATTTTGCTTTGAATACTTTGCAATATTGATGCAGCCGCACTTGCAAAGTTTTTATTTAATTAATGTTCCTACTGCACTTGCTGTTCCGCGACTTGTCGCAGACTCGTGCCGCTATTCAAACAAGACTGTGTGGCTTGAGCCGCCAACTCCCGGGTTTTATGTATGTTCTCATTTGCTGATAAGACCCACAGAACAGACCATAACTCGAGCAAATTCCCTTGCCCGCTGACTAATCGCTTTATCAGCGGCTGTTGCACATCCGCGCACAATGCCCCACATCTGTAGAACTTACGTGACGTAGACTTAGCTAGAATACATAGATTTCCTTAAACCTGGTATCTGGCGAGTGCTCTATAAAATCAGAGGTAGACCTGCAGTGATTACTTTTTTGATGAATAATATAAGACTTTTTACTTTCGAAATATGTTACAGATACAGTCATTATTTACATGAACATAGAGTTTATAATTAGGTTAACCGATATATAATTTTATGGTGATATTAAAATTTTATGGCACAATATTAACTTCAAAGGCGGCGTGCACCTCCAAGTCGTCTTGTACTTGTCTTGGCTTCATAGAGCAGACGGCTTCCAAGTTCCTATTAACGTATATTCTGGTCTGATTATAAACGCGCTGAAAAGGGAATATTGGTTTGGTGCAAAAATACGTAGTATGTAACAGGCGAAATATTTTTAAGTAGCATCAAATCCATATCCATCCGTCTGTATTAGCGTGCTGCCCTAAAAGTTAACTTTCAATTCCACTCGTTGATTAATAAAATGTGTTTTGCCAAGCCCTTTTTGGGACTTTTTTCTAAACTTTTTGCGAAACGTATAACCCTAAGTAAAGAGATTATTTGTTGATAACAGTAAAGATAATCTGATCGCGGTATAACTCCATAATGTAAATCATAAACCCTTCATCCATAGTTCATAGTTCATAGTTTATAGTTCATGTTGTTAACATGAAAGATTCTAATGGAACGGCGGCTAAGCCTTTTGAATGAATCATACATAAAGATGTCTGGATAGCGAAGGGTTTATACAAAGTATTCTTGCTCTCCCTGCTTTTGGGATAGTCAAGGTCGCCATGAGCATTACTCAGAGTATGACTGGCCAAAACGAGAAGCACATAATTGGAGAAATCATAATTTTCGGAATGAGCCTCTACTGAACTTGGATACAGCGAACTCCGACTGATTAAAAACTTTGTAAAAGCATAGGGTAGAGAGGGCAAAGCACTTGAGTATCTTAACACTGTCTGCCCACTTTTTTCAATGGCAAAAATTATAGAACACGTATTCGATGGCCCACAGATTCGAAGGCTTTTGGAAAGTGTGAAATTTTACTCTATGTTGACATCAGATGAAAAAGCAGCTTGGAACTCATTCCCAAAAGTGACTGCACACTTTTTGATGCAGTTATAATAGAACCGTCTAAAAATTGTTCACAAATTATGAAACAGTTCTCTTCAAAATGTCAGTAAAATTCTATTTTCCATGTCCCCCTTTTGACATTTTCTGAAAGAAAAAAAACATATAAAAATGGTGTTGATAGATACAAAACAATATTAAATGTGACCTAGTTTTAGCAATGCTAATAATATATATACTATATATAAATATATATTTTTTTATTAAAATACTTCTTAAAAACTTGATTTTTTAAGTATAATTATAAATCATTTCCATATTATTATTTTTTTAATGATAATTTATCATAATTCATTCTTTAAACGATTTATTATTGTGATTTTTTCAATGACCATTAAATAATTATTAATTCATCACAGCGCTAATGTTGATATGTAAACATTAAATTTCCCAAGACTACCTCAGCTAATTAATATATATTTTAAATATTTATAAAATTCAATTTATAACGAGCTAGGGTATTAAGACTACGACTTGGTCAAATAACTTTGTCAATTTGCATAATGAAATCAGTTGTTATCTTTGGCAGAGGGCTAGCTTATCAACGTGGATTTCACCTTTTGGGGCGAACTTGTTGTAAATATTTACAATGACACTTGCGAACAAGTGGCGCTATTATTCCGAGAATTAAACACCCGGGGGCTTTCCTCATTGTGGTGGCACAGTGGCGCACTGTGACTTGGTTGTATGGAAGTGGAATAAGGGCGGATTGTAAAGTTTTGGTTATGTGTTGTGAAAAATCGTAAGCTATTTATTTGGGCTACTCTGAAACTTTGCCCATTTATCAGAATGGACAAAGCATTTATCCTTTTCAAAAAGACTGTGCACTACTTTTAAGGCAGAAAAGCCACGCCCACTTGTTACCATGCATTGGGAGGAAGGCGACAAGCAAATTAAAAATGTCAAGTCAACCCCCGCCCCTTTCGCTCTTTCGCCAAAAAAAAGACGACGACGACGGTGACGACAAAGCGTTTGACATTAGTTGAGATTTTTCAATGTTTGCCTGACAGCGTTGCAAACGTGTCGAAAAGTGGGTGCTTCTGGCGGGGATTGGGTGCATTACGCAGCCATAGAAGGGCTTGGATCGGACGCTGGTATTGAGGTCTTTCGGTGTGTCTGCCACAAGGTACAAAGTTCGCTGCAAATACTCGACTGATAATATATAGAACAATGGGCCAACGAATAGATACAAAAACAAATTCCCTCAACCGCACTAAGTGTTGCTCAAGGTCTGTGCTGTGAATGGCGGATTCTCTGATGTCTGTTCCACTCTGCGAGACTCTGATATAAAAATTCACGTTTCTTGTCACTGTGGCTTTTGTTTTTTTTTTTTGTTTTTGTTACGCCCCTTATACGAAACGGTTGGCATTTTAATTAAATAATAACATTTAGAAAGAACTATGAGTCTCGATAATCTCATTTCCTTCACATTTGACTCACATAACCCCAGTAAGTGCTGCGACATTGAAAATCACTTGTTTACGTGCCCCATTTCAGGCACACCCATTTCTCGCGTAATATACGACACAGATGGGTGTGTGCCCAACCTTGTGCCAAGCACACACAACAGGGCTGTATAATATGTAATTGTGGCATGACATTGCACCACTTTTGACATTTGCCATTTGTAGTCAGCCGATTTTATTACAGTTGTGCTCATATGGAATTATCAAATATGTGACTGCACGCGGCAGAAATCGGAGAAATGGTGACAAATATTAGATAAGTTATTAGATAGATATTTGCTGATCAACTTTGAAAATCGTTTACTTATAACAATAATATTTACAATTTTTTTACGTGAGAGATAATAATAATTTCAACAATAATATTAATATTTGCATAATTTGACCTGAGAGCGCCTCTCTGGGCAATGCATTTTACTGAAGCTTGCAGCTATCGTTTTACAACTTATTATACTTCAGCGATCATGCTAAGCATCCTTAATGGTTGAATTCAATAACAACATCATTATTATACCCCAATGGGCTGAATGAGGACAGCAACAAGCAGAAAACTTTGTTGACTCAAGACTCATAAGCAAAACTTTGCGCGAGACAAGGCAGAAAACTTATTTACTTCTAGATTACGTGTCCTCAAAGTTGGCAACGACATTATAAAATTTATATGCACGTTATGCGTGCTATCCAAGATGAAATGTCCCGACCTGGCACAAGGAAGATGATGAGCTCGCTGCTCATCAGGCAGAATGTAATTACATTTTCGCCTGATTCATGACAGTTTTGCATAACGAACCCGCCTCGTGCCGTGGATATTGCGATTATTAATGAGACTGGCGCCAACAGCAGCCACAAAAGGCTGAGCCCAAAGGAAGACAGCCAGCAAGGCTCTCGCTTGACATCTGCAATGGGGGTTAATCCTGTCCTATCAACCAAATTGATTTGCCACCATCACAAATATATTCTTGCCTGAAATGTAGATTGTTCAATTATAATAATTCTAGCATTTCCCGACGCGACTTTTTCCCCGCACGTCTCTTTCAATTTTTCATTTTTCACAGAATAATTACATTTTCGATGTTTTAATATATATATGTATATGTTTAAATATATATGCAAGTGATTCCGAAATTCTTTGTGCAATTCGCACCAACTATATAAATATATACAATATATATTGCAGTTTCGTTTCAACTGATTAATCCTGATTTCGGCTGAAATGATGAAAACGATTTCATTTGAAATGATGAAAACGATTTCATTTGGTCCGATTTTGCCAAATTTATGAAACAATAAGATCCATGTATTAAACGCACAAAACCAACAAAAGTAATAAGGAAGATAAAGATTTACTTATTTTGCGATATGACGTAGTTTTAAGAACTTGTTACGATAATTCTCAACAGTTTAGATAAACTAAATGTTAGATTGATAAACTGTTTATTTACTTCTCTCTCTGTTTCTTCTCTGTTTTTACCATTAAGATTCTCCATTTTAGTTTCCATTTGAACCATTTGAAGTTCGGGTCGAATTATCAATTTTTTAGGAGATTCGAGTTGTCTTAATTTTGGTTGCCTTCTTTTGTCAGACTTCCTTAACTTTTTAATCTTAACTCTTTTGTGATTTAAGATTTGTGTGCAAATGTGTCTTTTGTAAGCCGAATAGGATAGTGCAAGAAATCCTTAGACTGCATTCGAGCCTAGTTCGAAGTAATTTTGAACATGGCTAAGCGCATTTTGTTGCTGTTAAATTGTTAAATGTTAGATTTTACGCACAATTTAATGCTATTTTAATTATCGGCTCAGTTGCTTTAATCTGCCGCCGTGTTGCAAAATTTAATTGCAACAGGACAGTCAGGATATATATTTAGTACATGCGTCATTTTGACTTTTATAATTAAGGCTGGCAGCAATTTATATGTTAAAACATGCACTCAACTCGACAGTTGATAAATTCACACTGGATCATTCAAGGATTATTGCGATTACCCAGTGCATTCGCTAGTGTTTGGGCAACTCGTAAATACTTGTGCTAATATTTATGCTAATGAGTTTCTTTTCACAATATTTATTGCATTGTTGCCCGATGTTGTTGATGTTAAAAACCAATTGCTGTAGAATTTTACTCAACAAAATTGCGTTATAGTTATAGGCGCACATTTAAATAGTTTTGGAAGATTTTCTTCCATTCTGACATGGCAAAAAGTTAACTTCATTGAAGAGAGAATTGTGTAA